GATATCTGGATAACCAATGAACCTCCTTAGTACGTGTTATTTAATTCCCTTGATTTCTTGCAATAAATGAACTACTACTACTGCAGCCTTTTCCTTGAGTCCCGGTTACCTGAGATACCAGCCTGCAAGTGCTAGTGCAATTCAGTGTTTCCGTCGCATCTGTGATTCTTGATTCGTAATTCGTGATCGGTGCTTACTTCAACTACTACATTTACTCAAATGGCGGATGGGATTTTTACATTAACTTGTACAAGTAATATATTGTTTAGAGTAGCATGTTTCGACTGGCCCATTCGATTGTTCACACACACCAATCACATGCGATGATCTTCGGTTAGGGGTAAGGGTATTGACTCACAACCCAAAGGTTCATGGTTAGAGTCCTGACAGGGATACAAAAAGTACATCTTGATGACGAGCCCCAAACAGTAAGAAACAAGTGTCCAGTGTTCCTCGCCAGTTATCACACAAATATATGATTCACTTATTTTTATATTCTTTATTTTTACACAGTTTTCAATAAGAAATGAGTAGAGTCATGTGACGAAAAACCCACCATCGCATAGGAAATTGGCAATTGTCAGGCATAGGCTTTAGAGAATGGTTGGATTTAGTTGAACGCGATGGTCGCGTAATAACCGGGAGGAGTGGGTGTGAAGATCAATGTTGGCGCCAAAATCCTACACGTGTGCTCGAACGCTGAAATTTTAGCCATGTTTGAACTTCGACGATGTGAGGAAAGGGCTTCAACTGATCCGACTGGAAGCGAATAGCAAACAAATACAGCAAGTTGCTTCCTAGCTAAATCGGTACTTGAAGTGAATCAAAATGAAGAGATCTTTATGAGACACATTCAGTTCGTAAATCACTCCAAATCGCTTGTTTTATACGGTACCTTACAGTAAATCGGAAATGTGAAAATCTCTTATACAGTCAACCGGAGTAAGATGAAGAGAGTTTAGTATCGAGGATCCGAGATTCACAGAATGCAATAAAGAGATTTATTTTCTTGATTTCAGAATTGGTACGCGGTATTGATATGCGGTTTGATCTACTACGCATCGGGAAATGTGATCACTTGGATAAAAAGGTGATTCTGAGTTGCATACGCGCCTGTGGCTTAGATGCGTAGGTTCTGCCAACATGCACATTGTTAATTTGCTCGTCCCGCAGATGCTATCGATTGGTACCTATTTAGATCGATCAACCTCACGCACTTGCCTATGGCAATACTGTCGGCCGACATGGGCCCGATCCTGATTGGCTGTTAGTTCCATTGCTGCCCTATTGATCATACGCTTGACATGATTGATTGCGAATGAGTCAGAATAAACCATCCTAACATGCGTACGGTTGTTCTACTTTGCCAGCGGGCTACGGGTCCGAGACTACGTCGTTTGAAATGCAAACGAAACACTGAGAGCACGCAAAGTACTTTGAGTGGTCACATTTGTAACCTGTGCATAAAAATTGGTCGTTGATTGGTATTGCCTTACTCACTTAATCGTTGAGGTCAACAATACAAGTCGTAACATATTCACCGATCAGCTGATTAGTTATTGGACATTAGGTATATAAGTGATCGCAAGTTATGTACACTGTTTGTTCTGGCCATCCCGGGATTGTGAAGAACGCAAGTTACTGATGGTCACGATGAACACGATTTACAGAGTCAATGGGTAAAATACAGATCAATAGTCATTCGGGCCTGTTGATACTGGTAAGGTCAACAGAGCAAGGCCGACCAGTCACGTGACATCTAATGCGAGTGAATTGTGGCATGATTTGAGCTCTCATCACATTGTGCATTAATCCCTGATTGTGACATGCGGATTAGAGTGTTTTGAAATGACAGAAATTTCCTTTGCAAAGGTTACTTAACCGGAACTCCTTTTATCAGATTTGGAAGCATTATTCCAGTAGTTTATTTAGTCATTTATTTACTATACTTTTTTACTTTTTATTTTACTTCCTTATATTAAATACAATTTTCAGCAAGGGGAAGAGACTGTCATACAAAACACAATGAGAAAAGTCTGGCGGCCGCGGTGGTGGCGGCTTCGGGATTCGAACACACGTCCTCCGAGGTGATACTTTTCAGTCAGTTAAATTTCCAAATTGTTGTGAAATTTATTGCAAGTTCATCATAATCGTGTTCAAGGTGTCCGTTCATTTCACTTTCGCAGAAATCAACAGAAAAAAACAGCAAGCTATGGTAACAGTGATAATGTGATAGAATAAGTGAAAATCAACAGGGGCAAATGTGTGCCAGCTGATATAGCGACCGTTTAAAATGCCGTCAAGTTGTTCTTCATCTTTTCACACAAATACTCGGATTCAACTATCCGTCATTCCAACATGGTTTTATCGGCCCAGAATATGCGAATTCGAATCAGATAACTTCATTCAATGATTGGTAAACATTCTGAATTGAACTGGTCTCTACCATCCTTTATAAAAAAAATAATTGGTTTCGTATTAGAATCCCAAAAGTAGAGGCAGGAGGAGGTTGGTACGTATATATACACCTGTGAATCGACCTGTCGATGCTCATAAAGTTATGAGCACGCGGGTGGGGATGGGGTGGGGTGGGTAAAACCAAGCCAAGTATTGGAATGAACTCCAGTGCCTCAAGCAATTATAACACGCAAGGGGAAATTTGTCTACCGCTCTGCCTCGTGACAGTCTGTACTGGTCGTACAATACCATGTAGTACGCCTAACCCAATACTTGACGAAGATTGGTGGGTACAAGGCGTGGGCGGTGTCATCTGGGATAGGTAAATGAAATATTACTGTATCTAGGACTGTAATTTATGGTTTTGACATAGTGAGCGCACAATAATATGACCTCATCGGTCCTGCCGTTTCAAGTGACTAATGGGATTTTCGGTGCTTTGGGATTGGGATTGAACGCGTTTGCACTGAGAATAATTTGGTCTGGTCACATGTGTGCCAGATCAACCGTGCTGTTTCTCCGAAGTCAATGCATATTCGACGGATACTGCTCACTTTTGATTTTGTTATACCAAATTATCGGGGACAGTATTCAGACTAGTTCCGAGGGGTACAATAAATTCATGTGTCTGTTGTGGAGCCAGCATAATCTATTCTGGCTTGGGATCATGTTCGGACTGTATAATATTGTCTCACTTTCACTGGACTGTATGCTCGCGGTGGTTCGTCCGCAGTTTCACCGAACCCATCAACTGAGCATCTCGGTTAGTCTGTATGTGTTCATCACGGTGATGAGTATACTCCTCGTGATGCCCAATTTTTTTCTACGTCAATATGTCAATTCAACTTGTGTCTACACTATTCCCACCAGGTCAACCGAGAAACGGAGTGTGTCATTTCGAATCTATAGTGTTCCTTGGGTAATTTGTGCCAGTGTTTTGCCCATCTTTGTTTCCCTCATGTGTACCGGAGTCACAATTCAGCATCTGTTGAAAGCCACACAACCGAACGTTTACAAGGAGATCAAGACCACCGTCCGTATTCTGGTGTTCCTAATTGTGGCTGTGTTCATATTTCACTTTCCGGAAAATTTGCGATCTATTCTGGCCCTGTTACGCGTGAACGACTATGTTCCGGGATCGAGAGATCAACAAATTGGCATACTCCTACTGGTGGTCAATCAGTGTACTAATCCTTGTGTTCTGATTAACAGTCGAATTTCGGCAAATCAGCTTGTCAGTCGATTACAGAGTGTGGCAGAAAAAATCAAACACGACTTGAAAGAACGTTCATTCCGACGATCGAGAAATCGAACCTGTTGAATAGATTTTATCTCAAGCAAACTGTGCCCCAACCCGGCCTCGGGCTGTCTAATCTCGCCTTCTCCGCACACACTTCATCCTGATCTGCTCTTTTAAAACCGATGGAGGAATATTATAAACTCACAATAAATTGTTTGTTTTACACGAACGCGCTCATTCGATAGTCAGACTGCTATGTGAATGTGTTGAGCACACAGTAGGCACCCACCAACTTGATTACAGGCTTATACTCATTGTGGTTAGACTGGATCGGTCCGTACGTTCTGAGAGCTGAACCTTACTCGCCGTAAAAGCCAGATAACCTTGAAGTCGCTAGGTCACGTACCACTTTAGAAGTGCAGTGCCTAGGCTGTTGGTATTTAATTTTTAGATGGTGAGTGTTTGGATTAGCCCATTCGGTTTATCACAGGCACCAGACACTGTTGATGATGGTTTGAAGTCCCATCCCGAGGGTTCGTGGTTCGAGTCCTGACAGGGACACGCAAAAAGTACGCATTGCTAACGAGTCCCAAACAGGAAGAAACAGCTATCCAGTGCTCTTTGTCGATTATCATAAACATTTCCACCGTCTTTAAACTTTGATATTTACCAATAAATAACAGTTCCCAATTTTCACATCTTTTTATCTAATACATCTTCAAATGATACACTAGGACGTTAGAGAGAATAATATTTACGTATTGCAATTGTTCATTTTTTTGGCGGCGACGGGAAGCATGCGTACAAATCAGTCATATATTACACACTCACACACACACACACACACACACACGGGATTCGTCTGTGAATGCCCAGGTTGGAAACAACAGGACTTCCGGAATATTCGAAAGGAAAACGAAATCGACATATAGGCATTGCCGAATAAAATCGCTTGCGGAATTGGTTGCTCCGCGTTCAACCGTGATTTACTCTCACACACGATCTGGGAACAATTGTTTGTCTACCTGTACATAACCGTTCACTGGGATTTACAAATCCAAAGTGTCATGAATGTGATGGTTTTACTTCCGTGTCAACGATTGAGGAAATTAAACGAAATATCAACATCTCACGACGTTTATCTGCTTCTTTTTTGGTCTTTACGTGATGGATAAAAGGGACCCAGTGTTTCAGATTAATCAGTAAACAATAATAATAACAATAATAAATTAATAAATAAGAAAGAGTTAGTCTGACATAGACAGCTCCCTACCAACCAGTGATGGTGGTCAAGCGTGCAGGGTCGTCCGACTATCGGCTCCGGGGGGAGGAGGAGGGGGCGGGACGTGTATTCGAGTGGCATCAGCATCGTCTGGATTTTCCCATTCTCTCTCTCTCTCTCTGGCTGTGTATGCCGACCCTTTGATTAGCCGCGTCTTCCTTCCTGAGAATTGTATCACCACATATTTGAGTTGAGTGAAAGATGAGAGATAAGAAACGATTTATTGAATTCCGGGGCAATTCATTGAAATAGTCGTTACAGAGCTGGGACATTGGTGGGCGCCTGACAATTATTAGGCTTGTATTCTGTCTGCCTTCATGAGATTTTCAACTGTGAACATTCTCACCAAAAGGGCAAACCGTTCATTCATCTTACGTGCTTAGGAATGAATTATTTTGATACAACTCCACCCAATTTCATGCCACATTAGGTGAGAAGAAAAAAATTCGTTTCAAAGTCGAACCCAATCACGTGGGTTATATTCGTTTTCGTCTACCCCGGATACCCTTGTTCCAATTTCTCTCTACATTCCCTTTTCCAGTATCAACATTTTCTTGGGGTTTTAAGACCGTTCACATTTCGCATTTCGTAGTGTCCAGTGGCCGAAATTACTCACCATTCTGACTGTTGATGTGCTTGTTGTTCACCGGTCCACACTGTTGATTACCAAAATCATGGAAGACAACATCTTACCCCACTATCGTGATCATTTTGAAATACTCCTCGATGTCCATCTTTGCATTCATAGAAAAACTGAATACCCCTACAGCTCTTCCTATTAATTATCATTCACTTAATGAGACGTTGTATTGAGCGACCTTGTGTGCACCAGAAGCCGCTGTCAGCAAATATTTTCAATTATCCCATTCGATAAACCGGTCTCTTTTTTGTTGGCTATCGAGAGAAGCAGGCGAGGTTAGCGGGAGTTCGTACCAGAGTCGTAAACGGGGATCGGGTAGATCAATAGTATTTTT